TCCCTGGGTTTGTTAACACCACTTCCTTTCCCCCCACCTCCCCCTCTCCCATGTCCCCCTGGAACTGTCGGTCCCATTGTTTTCTCCTCCAGATTGTTCATCCAGCCTATCTTATTTATTTTTTTATTTTTTTTAAGCCTATCTTATTTAGACAGACCTGAGAAAAAAATTTTAAAAGAAAGAAAAACCTGTAAATAAATCAAGGTCTGATATTTTACCTCTAGCCATGTCCTTTAGTCAAGTCTGATGGGGTGCCACGCTCTGGCCCCAGAGTCTATCCTTGGCACCTCCTCGGGATATGTCTGCTCTGCTCCCCCAGTTGCTCTGCCGCATGCCTTTAGTGTTTTGCCTTGGTGTTACGGGGTCAGTCTGGGCCAATCCCGACACTGAGTCTCCAGTATTGTCCCCCGTAGGGCCATGGGTCAGCGAGGGACGTCGTCTCTCATAGTGGGATCAGCCATATGGTCCACTTTGTGCATTGGCTGTTCAGAGTGAATATATGGTCCTCCAGGCCTGGTGGGTCAGGACGTGCTCCACTCTCTCTTCCTCCCCATTCATTTGCTCCCATGTGCTGTGATCAGACTTGTCCCTCTCCTTTGCTACAGCTTCAGTGCTGTCCTCTAAAGTAAATTCTTCTGGGGGGAGGGGCAGTTGTCCACACACCTGGTATGGGGGTAGAGCTGTAATCTTTTATGTATACTCAGTTACTAACTCTCTAGGAAATTCCCACCCCCTTCAACTTTTCATCTCTTTAAAATTTTTATAAAAATGCATATAACAGCCATTTCCATGGAGTCAATTCCGACTCAGTGGCCCTGTAGTACTGAGTAGTACTGCCTGGAGGGATTCTAAGACTGTAAATCATATGGGTAGACAGCCTCTTTACCTGCAGAGTGGCATGTGGGTTTGAACTGCCGACTCTGTGGTTAGCAGCCCAACTTGTACCCCATTGGACCAGGGCTTCATACAGCTGTTGCCAATTCCCAGCAACACATACACCAATTCAACCATTTCTACATGTACAATTCAGGGACATTGATTACATTCTTCCTGTTTGGCGACCATTCTTAGCCGCCTTTGCTAAGTTGTGCCTCCCCTGCTGACATAAATTCACTATCCTCTAAGGTTCGTATCTAATTTTCAAGTTACTCTTGTCGCTCTAACTTAGGAGTGTGTTCTTGAAAATACCCCCTCACCCCCACCTCGTAATAGTGGCCTCCAAAGAAAATGTAAATCTTAGCAAAACTGAATTGATGTAAGATCATTTTTCAATAATTTAACAAAGTCCTCTGAAGAAAGGCTGAAAACAAAATGCTTAGAATTTGGACCTATAGAACTTGCCCTCCTGTGCTTAATACAAGTTTTTATAAAAGTGCCTTTTTTTTTTAAAATAAAGGAGCATTATGTACCCTCAGTCTCTGCCATCATGGGCAAATGACATAGTGCTTGGTTGTAACACAATGATTACCATTGTCCATCTCATTGAAGTTGTATTTATTTTTTTCAGTGGCTTTCTCAACTATTCTTCCTGGTTTCTGCGACATTATGTGTTTCCCTGATTCTCTAATTATGCTTCCTTTTTAATGTTAATACCTCCAGTGTTTTATCTAATTCTCTGCTCTCTGCCTTCTGTTCTTCCATATTCGATTTCCCAAAGTAGTTCCAATATAGTTCACATCTCTCACTTGCTTTTCAGATGTTTTTTTGTCAGCCTGTAACTTATACTTAGATACATTTTTCACTTAATGTATTAAATGATTACAGATGCAATCTTTTTTTTGTCTCATAAATGGCCTGCCTTTTTCTACGTCTCCCTTTTGGTACCAAAGCTCACCTGGAATTATTTACTCACTGCTCTTACACCCTTATGGAGTAAAATGCTCAGATTTTTAAGTGTCCTCTTTAACCAGTTTTGACATGTTCTGTTTGTCTAGAATTGCTCTCTTTCCAGTTACTCCCCCTCCCTGGCTCTTATAAAGCAGCCACTGGATATGTTAGTAGTTTATTCCTTTCATTGCTTAGGAGTCTATTTTTTTTTTTTTTATATCCATTCACCAATCAATGGACATTTATATATTTTTTTTCCCAGTTTGGGGCTATTGTGAATATAGCAGATGTGAACATTCTTGCATAAGATTTCTTTATGGACATATTTTGATTAGTTTTGGATAAATTTACATTAGAACATGAAATCGACTCAATGGAAGTGTGTTTAGTTTTTGTATTACCTAGTGCTACTGTAACAGAAATACCACAAATGGGTAGCTTGCTATAAGGAACATGTATTTAGTTTTTCACAGTTCAGGAGGCTAGCTGTCCAAATTTAGGGTATGGCGCTGAGGGGAGGCCCTTCCTTGCTGTTTCAGCTTCTAGTTGTTAGTTCCTGTTGAGTCAGCTCCAATTCATGGCAATCCTATCCATGTACAACAGGACAGAGCCTTGCCCAGTCCCCTACCGCTCTCCTGAAGGGTTTCAGGTAAGACTGTTGGGACCCTTAGGGTCTCCACTGGCTGACTTCAGAAATGGCTCACCGGGTCTTTCTTCCTAGCCCGTCTTAGTTTGGAAGCTGCTCACCGTCAAAGCATCACACAAGCCTCCACTGGCAGACTGGTGGTGGCCATGCGTGAGGTGCATTGGCTGGAGAGCAGCTCTGGGTCAGTGTGTCAACAGCTAGTCTCGGTAGTGATCCCTGGTGTTCCTGGGCATGTCAGGCCTCCCTCGTCAGGGTCTGCTTTCCTCTTTCCCCAGTGTAAGTCTCTGGGTTTGGAGCTCATCCTACTCTGGTGTGTACTGTTACACTTCAGAAAAACCCCGTTTCTAAACATGGTCACACACATAGGCTCAGTGGGCTACAGTCAACACATTTTGGGGGTGGGCTGGGGGGCAAACACTCCATAACAATGTGCTTGCTTCTCCATCTGCTTCCCTTTATTCCTCGTACTGACTTGTTGGTTCACTCACGTTCCTCTGGGTAAACTCTCTGACCTTCCCAGGTCAAGTGATTCCATACTTGTTTCCCTCTCCTTCCGTGAGCTTCCTCACTGTTCACCTTTGGCTACTGTAATGCACTGTATTTCTTTGTATTGTTAAATGTTCACTTGTTCATCTTGTCTTATTAGAATGTGTTTCTTTTTAGCAACAATTAAATTCTTTTAATATCAAACATAGCCCCTTACTATTGAGCATTTATTCAGATGGTAGTTGATTGCCCCAGTACTCACCCTCAGTTCTAACTTGTCGATCTTAACTTAATCTTAGCCTTCTGCCTTTTCCTGAGTCTTTACAAAGTCATATTTTACATTTTCTTTAAGGCACTCCCCAAATGGTATACATAGTCTTACTAGTTTTCGACTAATCTAAGCACTATTTGAAACCGTTTCACATTTAACATGCATCAAATTTTAATGCCATAGATACTATTCTTATCCCTGTTTTAGCGATGAAGAAACAGTCTGAGGAGCTTGTACAGTGTACAGTGTTCTCCTCAGCTAGTGATTGATGGAGCTGGGGTGTGAACACAGACTCTTACCCCAGAGCTTTTAACTGCTGTGTAGCACTGCTTTCCTGTATGTTGTCTTTGAACTCCCTTATCCCATTTCTACTTGTTTGGGCCTCCTTGGCTAACCTGGTTACTCAATAACAGAATCCTGATGATTTCTATTCTTTTCTCCTTGTTCTGTAAATCCTTAAACTCTAGGGCAGTTATCTAGAATGATAAAACCCAAAGCAAATCCACTACCATAAAGTCGATTCTGACTCCTATCAACTGTATACAGGGTTGTTGAGGCTGTAAATCTTTGCAGGTGCAGATAAACTTCATCATTCTCCCAGAGTGACTAGTGAGTTTGAACTTTCGACCATGCTGTTAGTAGTCCAACAGTTACTCAACAGTGCCACCAGGGCTCTGTAAAAAAAAATACCGGGTTACTTGGATTGATACTCAGGGGCAACTACAACAAAACCCATTGCTGTCAGGCTGATTCTGACTCATAGCAACTCTCTGTAGGATTTTTGAGCATGCTGATCTTTATGCAGCAAAAATCCTCATCTTTTCCTATTGGAATGGTTGGTGAGTTTGAACTGCCAACCTTGCTATGAGTATAGTCCAATGCTTACTTGAAAATTGATAATGAATGAGTTAAAGTGGAGGTGATCTGTGTTCATATGGCTTTTGTCATTATTGCATATGTTAACATTTTCTGCTTAATTTTCAGGGCATTTGAATCTGAAATTAGATTTTACACTGGAAATGACCCTCTAGATGTTTGGGATAGGTGAGTTTTTTTACCTGATAAGGGCAACAGAAACTTAGCACATGAGTTCTTGTGGCCCTGCTTCTCAACCTGTGAGGGTGAGGGGACATCATGGGGGCACCCCGATCAGATCAAATTCACTACCATCGAATCAATTCCAACTCATAGCAGTCTTAATGAGCAGAGTAGAACTGCCCCTGTGAGTTCAGGGACTGTGGCTTTTTGGGAGTAGAAAGCCCTTTCTCCTGTGGAGCGGCTAGTGGTTTTGAACTGCTGACTTTGTGTGTGCAGCCCAGTACGTAACCCACCATGCCACCAAGGCTCCTTTTGTGGGACTAGCCATGGTCATCGTAGTGTATCTTCTTAGGTGTTGAGTGAGAAATTTTGAATTCGTGGTGTGGAATTTTGACTCGCACCCTTCCACTCCCATCCTCAGTAATCTGTCAGAGACTTTGGACAAGTTTGAAGGACGCAGGTGCAGAGCATGTTACTGAACATGCTTCTGTAAATGTACAGATATGCGTTGCTTAACATCTCTGGACAAAGTCCAACAGTATGTATATCCATAATTCCATAAGCATTTTATTTTTATTTAAGGGAAAATAGCTCTCCTTTTGTTTATTATTTCTATTTGATGGTTTTAAAGACCCCAAACCCAGACTGTTGTAGCTCTGGACCCCAATTAGGATATAGATGTGACAGGACTTGGGGGTGGGCTCTCAGGCTTTGTGTACCATGCACGCAGGTGGGCGGGCGGGCAGAACAGTGGACAGGACTGGGTGCGTTCTGTTTTTCACTCAATTCCTCTTGCTCTGGACCCATTGCTGTTGCTGCTGCTGCTGCCAGTGCCGTTTCCTCCAGTAGTAGTGGCAGGCATGGGTGGCGTCAGCTGCAACAAGGACGTTCAGAAGCAAGTCCCCCTAAGGTCTTAATACTGTATTTGCAAAACACTGCAGTCCAAATCAGAGTGTCCTATCTCATAAAATGTATTGTGGACAGTAAGCAATACACATCTGTATTTAAAACTTTTAAATATTTCTGCTTATGAAAATCCAGAATGGATCTTAGAGTCAAGAAGAAAGTACATGTTCAAATTTAAAATACTTGTTTCCTTTTCTTCTCATTCAGATATATTAACTGGACAGAGCAGAACTACCCTCAAGGGGGGAAAGAGAGTAACATGTCAACATTACTAGAAAGAGCCGTGGAAGCACTACAAGGAGAAAAGCGATATTATAGCGATCCTCGATTTCTCAATCTCTGGCTTAAATTGGTGAGTCTCTTAAGTGCCATCTGAGTTTAGAATCTTACATCAAGACATTTTCTCTAAAGGTATCTGGTGCCATTTAAAAAAGAAGGGAAAAGGCCAAACCCGAGCCATTTAGTAAATATTCGATATTTATTAAATTGATTCTAATTTAAAGATGGAATTGAATAGAGTATAATAGTTTTTTTTATCCCTTTAAGATTGACCTCAGGTCTGTATATCTTTCAATGCACCATGGTTCTTTGTCAAGTTTATTTATTTGAGAAATAACTGGTCCATGCAATGGGTATTGGTTGAGGATGTGCAGGTGCCAACAGATGGCAGTACTACCTTTGGGGAACAGTCTCAATAGATGAGCCAGGTATTTTAACAGAACAGAACTCTCTTGAGGGAGGAAGGGGAGTAACAGGCTAACAGATTTAGTAGGTCATTCCTTTCCTTACAGTTTTTCTACCCTTGCACGTCTGCCCGGCAAAAGGTTGCTGTAAGACCATAGAAACCTTTGTTGAACAAAAAATTCAAAGTATGGAACTATTGCTTCTTGATATACCCTCCATCTAGGTCTTATATTGATTTTCCATATTTTTAACCCTTCTCTGAAGAATTGGAAACTTACAAATCGAGTTGTTTTAAGATATTCATTAAACAGGACTGTAAAGTGTGTGGGGTAAGGTTTCCTAGAGAAATTGTCATAGAGTATTCCTTGGTACCATTGAAGGATGAGTGAGTCAGGGGAGGCTGCCAAGGAATTCCTTGGTACACGTTCTTGGACTTTCCCTCACCAATGCCGTTGTCAGTTCTCTTAAAACTTCTTCCTAGGAAAATCCTATGATCATTCTTTAATCCTTCAAGATCTGTCGTGATTATCCCTTTGGATTCCCCCAAAACAGTCTCCCTTACCTTCTAATCTGACCTCCCTGCCCGACTTTAACCGGCTCAGCAGATCCCTGGGAAACCACTGGTTTTTGAAGGCATCCCAATGAAACTCAGACAAGTGTCTCACTGAGAAAAAGTGTGCAGCCATCCTCTGATCACATGTGTGAACACATTTGGTTTGGAATAAACCATGTATGTATGAGCTGGTATCTTAATAGCAATACTTTTTGATCTACCCTGTACCTTGCCTAACAGGTAAATGCAAAATTGTTAGCTAGCTCAGCATGAAGACCTGTTAGATTGTTTGCTCCAGATCAATATCTTGACTGTACCTGTGCATTTCCGCCTTCTCTGTCTTTGCTTAGGCCAATTTCTCTGGCTAGAAGGGCCTTCCCTTCCCATCCTCCACCCATCGAAAATCTGTTACTCTATCCAGGCCACACTCAAGTCAAATATCACCTCTTCTTGGATTCTTTGCTCCCTATTTCCTTTTCTCACGAAGGAATCTTTCTCTTGTCTTAGTTTTAGCTCCTCTCAGTATATATTTTCTTCAGTGCAGGAACTACATACAGTATCTCCAGTGATTGTTCAGCATCTAACAGGTACTCAGTAAGTGAATTGAAATTGATTAACTATTTAACATTTGACTTTGTTACAGGGGAATTTATGCAATGAACCTTTGGATATGTACAGTTATTTACACAGCCAAGGGATTGGTGTTTCACTTGCTCAGCTCTATATCTCATGGGCTGAAGTATACGAAGCCAGAGAAAACTTTAAGAAAGCAGACGCGAAATTCCAGGAAGGGCTTCAACGGAAGGCTGAACCACTGGAAAAACTGCAGTCCCAGCACCGGTAAACCGCCCTGAATTAGTAGTCATGAGCAGTCTGCTTTGCCTCTGATTAAAATGCTGCTCAGTGCATTAGCATGTTTCCATAAATTTTTAAAAGACATTTTCGATGAAAAATAAAAAGTAAAAATACATTTTCAATGTTTTACATAGCACACAGTAAGATTCAGTCTTTGGTGTACACGTGTGTGCATTAACAAATAAATAGAGTTGTGGAACCATCACAATCAGGATGGGGGATTATTCCATTCCTCTTTAAAAGTGTTTTCTTGTGCTATCTCCTTCGTAGTTGGCATCTACCCTCACCATCAAACCCTGGCCACTACTGATTTCTTCTCCAACCTTATAGTTAAGTAACATTCTGATTTTCCCAGAATGTCGCTTATGTGGAGTCATACAGTAAGTAGCTTTGTGGGCTAACATAATAAATTTTAGATTCCGTCATAAGTAGTTTATATCAATAGTCTGTTCCTTTTGATTACCAAGTAATATTTCATCGAATGGTTATACTACTCATGAGTTTGTTTATCCATTCATGAGTTTCCAGCTGTAACCATTAGGGATAAAAATGCTATAAAATATTCCTGTACAGGGCGCTGTGAGGACATAGGATTTCTCTTGGGTAAGTCCAAAGGAGTGGGATAGCTCGTTTATGTGATAGGCATATGTTTCCCTTTGTAGGAAACCGCTGTTAGCCAGAGGGTATGTGCCATTTTGCATTCCCAACAACAGTGGATGAGTTGCAGTTGCACTTGGCATTTTCGCTTTGTGGATTTTTTACAGTCATTCAAATAGGTACATCATAGCCCAAGAGTTCCTTATACCCAAGGGGGCTTCAAAAATTTGTGGACTATGGGATTTCTTCACAAGCTTTTTGACGCCGCCTCATATTCTAAATAGGACCTTTTGTCAGATAAATGGTTTGCAAATATTTCCTTCCCGTCAATGGCTTATCTTCTATTCTCAAACTCAAAACTCACTGCCATCAAGTTGATCCTGACGCACAGTGACCTGACCTTTTATGGACCAAACTTTTTTTATTATTACTAAAAAGTGAATTTATCAAGCATCTTTTGTGACTTGTGTTCTTGTATCTGAGAAATCTTTGTGTACTGGAAGACCCCAGATTCTCTCTCCCGTTTCCTCTTGAAGTTTTACAGTTTGTGTTACATTTAGATTTGTGATTTGTTTTGACATTTTATATAAGGCATGTGTAATAATGGCATGGCAGTGCCACATTCTCACCTCACTTCACAAGGGGGAGGAAATAGACTCAAATTCCCCATCAGCCCAAGGCTGACTCCAGTGAGGTGGAGGTCAGGCATGCCTCCTCCTCCACCCTTTTTACCAATCTGACACCACCTGTCCTGCCTGCAGCACTCTTGACTTGTATGCTGGCCTGTTAAATGCTACAGGGGCCACACAGAGCCCAGACCATACACATGATGAGTGAGTTGATTAGGGAAGTCACAGGTTACAACTTGAGATCAGAATCAGGAAGCGTGTAGACAAAGTGCCCCTTCTTCAGTGCAGAACCAGCTCTCAGCTTCTCTTGGCTCCAAACTTTGCCCTGCTCTGACAAGTATTACAAAACTCTTCAGCTCTGCTAATAAGAGCACCTCACTCTGCCAGGAAACCTCCTGCCTGAAGGCTTCCAGCTCCATCACTCCCTGGGTTACTTGTAGCCTCTTGCCTGCTGGGAAGCACACCACACCACACCATCGGTGCACCCTGTACCTGGTTCTACTTCCACCCTTGCTCTGCCTGTGCTTCTTGTCCTCTGCTCTGTTCATCACCCTACCTCTCTGTATCTGTCTCCTGGGGACGGGAAGTTCTCAGCATATGGATGCTGGGCTCAAAGACTGTCCTCTGCTCCCCACTCCTCTTCTTTATGTTAATGAGGGACCCTCTTGCTCTGATCTGGGATTGGCTCTCTTAAGCCCGGTGGATGACAAAACTCACCAATCACCCCACTAGGGTTTCATACTCTATTTGCATGGTTTCACCCTAATAAGGTTCCTATGTGCCTTAGTTGCATAAACAGCAAACTGTCCAATTCCTTTGGTGGGCTACAGACACGTTATTCACATAATCCTATCTAATCTGTGGGAGTCACAAAACCTTGCATGGCTGGTAAACCGTTGCCATCTAGTCAGTTCCCAGTGATAGGGATCGCATGTGACCGAGTGGAACTGCCCTTGGGGTTTCTGAGACCAGCTCTTCACAGGCGCAGATAACCTCGTCTTCCCTCCTGCAGAGTAGCTGGTGGATCTGAACTGTGGTGAGCAGCCCAGGAATTAACCCATCGTGCCAGCAGTGCTCCCTCACACGACTAAAGGACCATGTGAGGGCATTTACTGCATCTCGGGATGGGTTGGGATTCATTGGTGGTGGTGGTTTTTGCACATAAATTTCTAGCTGTCCCATTGCTATTTGTTGAAAAGACTCAATCTTTGCACCTTTGTTAAAATTCAGTTGGCCAAATTTATGTAGGCTTATTTTACATGATTTGGTTCTGTTAATCAATGTGTCTATCCTTTAGTGAATACTCTTTAATTTTACTGTAAACTTTGAAATTGGGTAATGTAAATCTTCCAACTTTTAACTTTTAGTTCTTCTTTTAGCAATTCTAGTTATGTTGACTTTCTTAAAGTGTTTAGAATCAATTTTCTGAGATTTTTGACTAGGATTTTGCTGATCAATTCGGGGAGATCAATTCGGGGAGAATTATAATTCTCGAACATATAAATAGAGGAGTGATGGTGGTATAGTAGATACATGTTCGGCTGCTAACCAAAGTCAACAGTTCAAAACCACTGGGTGCCCCTCAGGAGAAAGATGAGGCTTTTAACTCCTGCAGAGTCAGTCTCAGAAACCCACGGCAGTTCCACCCTGTCAATGACTCTAAGACAGTGAGTTGAGTGAGTAGCTGTATGTATCATTTCTGTTCTTTGTTCTGTTCATTCCTTCCATTCAAGTTTTCCCCTCTAACATCATTTCCCTTCAGCCTGAAGAACTTCTTCAGCCATTATCTTTTCAGTTATTCTCTGCTATCAGAATCTTAGTTTCTCTCCATCTGAGACTATTTGCATCTGGAGGAGATTTTCATTGGGTGTAGAATTGTGGGCCAACACATCTTTTTAGCACTTCTAAGGTTTCACTATCTTCTGACCTCCATGTTTTCTGATGAGAAATTTGTAATCATTGAAATGTTTTTTCCTAATAGGTAATGTGTTGTTTTTTTTCTATGTTTGACTTAATTTGTCATTTGTCCTGCAGTTTGATTATGATTTCCTTTACATTTATTTAGTTTTAGGTTTCCTTGGCTTCTGAAATTTGTAAAGTTTAAATTTCACCAAATTTGAAATGTTTTTAGTCATTAAAAAAAATGTCTTCTTACACCTATCTCTTAACCTATTGCTAGGACTCTAGTGACTCAGGTATTAGGCCTTTTGATATTGTTCCTTGATTTCTTGAAGCTCTCTGTTTATTTAAATAATAATAATATTTTCTCCTCCCCATCTTTTGTTTTTCAAATTAGCCGATTATTTTTGTTTTAGCCATTTTATTGTCATGTAACAGATATCATAGAGTTCAATAGTTCTGCCATTCTTTTGAGCTATGCATTCATCACGACAATCAATTTTAGAACTTATTTTTCTGTTTTGTACTTAGCTCCCCATTTTCCCCACCCTCCCTTGCCTTGTCCCCTTGCCGTGTCCAGTTACTGTTTCTATAGATTTCAGCCAATTTTTATTGATGTTTTTAAGTTAACACTCATTTCTCTGCCTTCTCCTTTCTGATACTGAATCTATCCAGTGAGTATTTTATTTTGTTTTATTTATTT